ATGATCACTATTATTATTGTGGCTTTTCTCATGATCTTCAGAAATAAACTACTCAGTTTCTAAAAGACGAATTCCTTTCCGTCCATTGTCATCACCAATATTCTTGGAAAGTTTGGGTTTGGAAAAGACATGGAAAGACATTGATCCTCAACTTATATAGGATCTTTTCAAGATAATCCCATTCTTTGCTAGCCACTAGTTTTTATAATGGGGAGCTACCTAGTTATGTGGATTTGGTGCATGTGCAAGAAGATATAGTTGGGACGATGACCTAGTTCGAAAACAAGTCCTCCAATGGCATAATACATTATCCAAGTTGATTGGTGGAACCTATAGAACCATAAATTTTGAGCTAATCATAAACGACGTGTCATTATCTATTTTATTTAGAGATTAATTATATATTAACCCTAACTTAAAATTAAAGATAAATTGACAATTAAAATATGTAATTGGATCATCTGAAAACTGGGCTTGAAATCAATTTGGTTCACAAACTTGGCCCAAAATCCAATTTACCATGCGACCAAGTGGATTAATATTTAAATTTAAATAAATTTAAATCCATTTAAAAAATTGGACTGGATCCAAAATTATCCAAGCCCACCAAGCCCACCAAGCCTATGGAAACCTCTATAAACAAAGGGGATCTCATTCATTTTGAAGGTTCAGAATTTCAGAATTGAGAGAATTCACACCAAATTGAAGACTCTCTGAAGACTTGAAGATTCAAAGACCAACTTGAAGACTTGAACACTTTTGAAGAACATATAACTTCGATCCAAATTCAAGAACAAGCATTTCAATCTTCACATCAAGTTCGAGAGAAAGAATTAGACGATAAATATTCGAGAATGAATCCATTATACAATACATACAAACAATATAAAATTTCAACTCCACGAAAAATAATTTCTCCGGAAATCTCGTGTGAACAGAACCTCTTTGCTCAAATTATTCAATATGTCTTGATGGAATCCAAATTGTCAACCAAACTGAAAAGGGCTATAAGTTTCAATGACAATTGAACTCACGCACCACAATAATAAGAAACATGACCTAATACTCGAGAGGAATGATGAATTTCAAAATGAAAGTTCTTGATTATCTTTCAAAACAACGTTTCAATTACTTGATCAAAGACTTGTGTGCCATGATATATATCTACTCCTGTGAATTGTAACACGAGCATCAAAATCATCAAAATACTTAACTCCACATTCTCAAGAAAAATTTATCATCATTGGGCCTCTGAGTTACACAAGAGTTTTGAAATGTGTATTGAAATAATGGGTAAGCCAACCATGAACATAATGCATAGGAAAGCAAGCATTCAAGCGTCCTGCCAAAGTTAATGCATTATGAATCTGGCGTAGTCGATGATAGATGTTAGCCAAAACAAAAATAGAAAGCTAAAAGAAATGCCTTCAACCATACAACTAGTAGTCTTAGAAACTTCTGGACCGAGAGAGGAATTCTTTCAAGGAAATACGAATACACATAACCAACAAAAATGGAAAGTAGCCAAATACGTCATTTCTCTCCATTCATCTTCTACGTCCAACTTATCAAATAACTCAATTTCTTCCACAGACCAATCATGACGCACAAAAGAAGTCCATTCAGATTATGAGTTGAACGAGGTGGAGAGTTCTTTTGTGGCCTACGAGGAGGAGACTTCACATACAACAAATCGCCTTTAAACCAAAAAGAGATTCATGACTTGACAGAAGCTCGGGAGCAAGCACCATCTTTAGATGCAATATGATAATAAGCAACAAATAGATATTCACGACTCTTTGGAAGACATCCTTCTTCTTAAGTAGATAACCTTGACAATTCCACATGGGACAACTTCATCATAACATCATCTTTTAATAGGGAAGCCTCCTAATCTCCACATATCCTACAAAGAGATGGACAATTTCCCGAATGAAGTGTGAAGGTTATTAGTTAAAGGACACCAAGCCTCACAAAATGCTTGAACTATATCGTTGTTACGATCATAGGTGTTCAAAGAAGCCAGCACAACATCCAACGAGCGAACATATTGGAGCGTCTTCTTGTTTCGAGCAAAACCTCTAGTCATTTCCAATAATAAAGGATATAAAAGAATTCTCCATGAAGTTTTAACATAGGGCCTGAGCGAACTATGCCCTCAAGGACCTAGTGTCAACTCTGGACTTGGACTTGGATCCTTGTCATGTATTAGAGAGTCTAAAAACCACACTATCGAGGAAGAATCATGAGTCAATGCTCTCTCTTTAGATCATCTGGGTAAAAAACCAAATTATCTAAGCGAGGCCAACCCTTCGAACTATCTAACGTGATCATTGCTGTATGATACCCAATCATCAGAAAAATTGGGTGATTAATGTGTTACGCAGGAGTGACATCAATCAAGTGAAAATTAAGGTGACTACCAATGTAGGATACCCAATCACCCAAAAAATTAGGTGGTTGGCCTGTTACGCTAGAGTGACATCACTGAAGTGAAAATGAAGGTGACTCCTGATATAAGATACTCAATCACTCAAAAAAGTTAGGCAATTGACTTATTACGCAGGAGTGACATCACTTAAGTGAAAATGAAGGTGACTACTGCTATAGGACACCCAATAACAAAATAATAATAATAATAATAATTACATCATTTCTGTTACGTAGGAGTGACATCACTAAAGTGAAAATCAAGGTGACACTACTGTAGGATACTCAATCACCCAAAAAATTAGGTGATTACTGTAAATGGTAGAATAATTATGAGACTGAACTACTAAATTTTACAATGAACAATTTCATGAAACAAGAGCATCTTATTTATAAATCAAAGAACATATGCATGAGCATAAATAAATAAAATGTCTACGTATTAAAAAAAAGGGGTTTGATCACATATTTACCTCTCAAGAAGAGTGAGCGAAGTTGGATGTTGTAGCGGGAAAGTTATAGATAAATTTATGAAGCCCAATTCCCTATTAAAAAAAACAGCAAACAGTGTAAAAAAAACATTCTTCCTAATGCATAGTAATTGTAGAAAATAAAAAATAAAAATAAATTCAACCAGTTTTTTA